AATCTGGAAGTGTCTACTCAAAGAAGGCAGGGACCCTGTGTCAGCCCCCGAGCTTATATTCGAAGACCCTGTAGTTTTAAGTTTCCTTGGAAGATGCAAACAAAGGTCTCCTGACTCCCACCCCCAAATACACACCAATGACAGACCAAAGTTGTAAGCCCTTCAAGGCACAGAGGCCAGGCCCTCCTCTGAGGACCTACACTGCCAGGTTCCACCCACAGAACACTCTAACTGTCCTAACAACTGGACCCAGCCCCCTGCCCTAAAGAGTAAAAGCCCACACTCTGGACTTGAAATCCCACCCATCTTCACCCTGAAAAATTCCACACACGCGCACCCCAAGTAACTCTATATACACCCTGCCTTCTGTTCAGTTCTCTGCTGTTTCTCACCTGAGCAGAGGCAGCCACCCTCCTGGTTTTTTCCCCCTCCCAATAAATCTTGTGTGAGGTTTGTTGTGAGGTGTGACTTCGTGGTACTCCTTGGCTCCTGACTGCCAGGAAGACTTTCCATCTGAACTGCAACACTTACAAAAGTACAATCCCACCCAAGTCCAGTTTGGGCTGGCTTCCTTACAGAGTACAGGCGAAGGTTCTGTGCACCACCACGGCCTGGTGGAAAGGGTTTATTTGGTTTAGACAGTGTAGTCCATCAACAAATGAAGTCAGAACAGGAACTCGAACAGGGCAGGATCCTGGAGGCAGAAGCTGATGCAGAGGCCATGGAGGCATGCTTGCACCTCGTGCTTTGCTCAGCCAGCTGTCTTTAAGGACTCAGGACCACCAGTCCAGAGATGGCCCCACCCACAATACGTTGTGCCCTCTCACATCAATCGCTAATTAAGAAAATTCTCTACAAGCTTTCCTACAGCTGCATTTTACAGAGGCATCTTCTCAATTGTATCAAGTTGACATGAAACTAGCCAACACATCAGGTGACACACGTCTTTAATCCCAGCACTTTGGAGGCAGGGGCAGGTGGATCTCTGTGAGTCTGAGGTCAGCCTGGTCTACAAGAGCTAGTTCTAGGATAGCTAGGGCTACACAGAGAAACCCTGTCTCAAAAAAAAAAAAAAAAAAAAAAGATATCATAGGATAACCCTAGTCCTGTTTCTACCCTGACATATTTCCTTCTTCAGACGCAGTAACTCTGAGTATGGTCCAACTCCGGGACTGAGGCTTTTTGGCTGTGCATTTCCCATTTCAGAGGCTTGGATTTCCTCGGGCCAGACTGCCCTTTGAAAATGGCTCTCAGCTTCATTCTGTGGCCTCCAGTTCCAGCCCCACAGAATCTCCTGAGCTGTGCCTCACTGTGAAAATGCCAGCTCTTCTCCATCAGTTCTGAGCTTACACATCACAGTCTTGGCCACCTCGAGATGCTACTGTTCTTTTGCTGTGAAGAGACAGTATGACTCAGGCAACTTTAGAAGAAAGAGTTTATTGGAAGCTTACCGTTTCAAAGGGTTACTCTATCACCATGATAATGGGGAGAAGTAGGCAGGCAGCCATCATGCTGGAGCCGTGCTGAGAGCTCACATATCGAGACAACCCAATTAAACTCATGGTTCACCAAACTGAACTTCCTACTTGGATCTATAGTGGGTTTCCACTGCATTGTGTATGTGTACATTTCTGTTACTACGTCTTTCTTTTTAAGATTTATTTATTATGTGTACAATGTTCTGCCTGCACCAGATCTCATCACAGATGGGTGTGAGCCACCATGTGGTTGCCAGGAACTGGACTCAGGACCTCTGGAAGAGCAGCCAGTGCTCTTAATCTCTGAGTTATCTCTCCAGCCCATTACTATGTCTTATACTCCAAGATGCTAAGTTTCTTTCTTTCTTTTATTTTTTTTAGGGGGGGTGGGTGTTGTTTTGAGACAAGGTTTCTCTGTATCTTGTAGCTTTGGAGCCTGTCCTGGAACTTGCTCTACAGTCCAGATTGGCCTCAAACTCATAGAGACCTGACTGCCTCTGCTTCCTGAGTGTTGGAATTAAAGGCTGTGTGTCGCCATCATCTGGATTTATTATTATTATTATTATTATTATTATTATTAAGAAAGAAATAAAGAAGAAGTGCATTTGTTCATGAATGTAAATACCCATGTAGGCCAGAAGAGGCTATTGCATCCTCTAGAGCTAGGGTTACACTTTGTTATGGGAGTGGCCTGACCTGGGTGCTGGGAACTGAACTTGGGTCTCTCTCTCTCTCTCTCTCTCTCTCTCTCTCTCTCTCTCTCTCTCTGAGACAGGGCCTCACTATGTAGTCCTTCCTGGCATGGGACTTACTAATTTAGACCTTACTGGCCTCAAATCATAGAGATATGCCTGCTTGTGCCTAGCCTGGCCTAGGACTCTCTGTGTGAATTAGCCTATCCTGGAACTCATAATGATCCACCTGCCTCTGTCTCTCCAGTGCTCAGATCTAAGCCCCTTTTGCCACTACTTTTGGCCAAAACTGCATTTAAAAAAAAAAAAGATTTATTTGTGATTATCTTTGTGACTTTTTTTTTTTTTTTTTTTTTTTTTTTTTTTTTTTTGAGACAGAGTTTCTCTGTGTAGCTTTGGAGCCTATCCTGGAACTTGCTTTATAGACCAGGCTGACCTCAAATTCAGAAATCCTCCTGCCTCTGCCTCCTGAGTGCTGGTATTAAAGGTGTACAGAGGATCTCCATGAATTCGAGGCCAGCGTGGTCTACAGATCAAATTCCAGGACAGGCTCCAAATGTACAGAGAAACCCTATCTAAATAAATAAATAAAGTAAAAAAGTAATTATTGCTCTTGTAAAGGACCTAGGTTTAATTTCTAGCACTCACATGAAGGTTCACAACTATCCATAACTGAGTTCCGGGGATCAAATACCTTCTTACCTCTGATGGTCTCTTATGACCTCCTAAGGCACCAGGTACTCAAGGTTACACATAAACTCACATACACATTAAATAAAATAAATTTGTCTAAAAAAAAATTGGGACCAGGAGGCAGAGGCAGGCGAATCTCTGTGAGTTCAAGGCCAGCCTGGCCTACAGAGCTAGTTCAAGGACAAGCTCCAAAGCTACACAGAGAAACCCTGTCTCGAAAAACCAAACCAAACCAAACAAACAATTGGGACCATAAATACTGTTAAAAAGAAAGAAAACAGGGCAGAACTCACAGCTGCTTTTCTCAGGAGGCGGTTTGTTGTATTGGTCATCAGGCTTTCCATCCAAAGGCTAGAGCCCCCAGTACTGTAGGGATGAAGCTTTTAATCATTTCGTCTCCTGTATATGCCTACCTGCATTTTAATTGGATGCTTTATGCTAGGCAGTAATGGCTGGAATGAGAATAGAGGGCAAGGGGGGGAGGGGGAAGATATAGGAAAGATGTGGTTAGTTTGCATGTCCACAGGAGGGCGCTGACCAGCCCATGTACATGAGGAACACTAACCAGGCCACAATGCTGTTTTGTAGTTTTCTTCATCTTAACCCTTGGGAGACTCTTTCTCCCAGTACCACAAGAGGGCAATGTGTGATGTCCTAAGGTTAAAGACTCCGATTATGTCAACAACATAGCACGTGGCATGTCTGCTAAGAAAAGACACAAACAAGGACTGAGTGGAGCCAGCTTAAGAAAGAGGCTACCTGGGCTGCAAACAGTAAGGCCCTATGAGTAGGGTTTACCCAGGACCGCTGAAGCTCAGATCAGCCCAACACAGTGTGCTGGACACGATGCTACAAGACTTATTCTTTTTCTTGTTAGGGTACAGCCTCACTCTGCTTCAGCGCCCCAGTACTGTCCCAACAACACAGAGATAAAAGCAAAAGGATCAGGTATTCAAAGTCATCAGCTATACTGGGAGGCCTACCTAGGCTACTTGAGACACTACCAAAACCAAAAGACCAGGCACAGCGGCCTTGGCACAAGCCTTTAATCCCATCTCTGGGGAGGCAAGGGCAGGGGGATCTTTTAATATGAGGCCACTCTGTTTATAGAGAGTTCCAGGTCAGCACAGTGAGGTCCCACCCCGTCTAAAATAAATACATATAAATTAAAACCATGACTCTCAAAAATATACATCAAAAATGCATGTGCCTCAAGAAAACCAGAAAGGTGGTTCCACGAAGATGTAAACAATGACTCTGAAATAACACAAAAGGTTGGATGTAGACACCCAGAGTTATTTAGCTACCTTCCAGGTGATGGATGCACTGGCAGAACTCATTTGCAACCCATCAGTTTCTTGCAAGTCAGTCTCTACAAGAATTGTGTGTGGACTTCAATCACAGGTAAGAATGAAAAAAAAAAAAAAGCTACATTTAAATAGCCATGTGTGGGGCTGGAGAGATGGCTATTAAAGGATAGGCTCACAACCAAAACTATAGTCAGGTGTCCTATAATGAGTTTGGTAACCTATGAGAAGAAATTGGAGAGCTCCCAGTCATCTTTCTGTTGTATCGTCAAATATTCTATGAATGTTCTTTTAAAATGTCTCCCGCGACAACCAACTCTTTCTCTTATTGTTGCCATCTTTCTCTCGGTCTTCGAAACCTAACGGTTACTGTATCTCTAATTTCCGTCTTTCTCCCTGCTTACCTTTGTATTCGAATCGGTCGCTAGAATCTCGATGTCTTGCCTTCCTAATCCCAACCCCTTCCTGTTTGTCTTTTCTGGCTAAATTTTCTGACATGCCTCAGGTCCTAATTCTCTGACTCTAATGAATGAAACTCCTCCTTTCATTGAGACCTGTATCCCTGTGTGAGTTCACTTATATTCACTGTCTCTCCTCGCAGTCCCCGCCCTCGCCACCTTCGGCTTCTCCTCCTCTTGCTCCCAACTGTGTGCGGGTATCTCTGCCTCCCTAATTCCTGCCTTCATAACTATCTCTTAAGTTATTTAGCGTCCGCGCCTACCTCCCCACGCCCTCCCCACAGAAGCGGACAGCCTTTTCTAAACCAGGTAGTCCGGGCGTTACCCGGGAAACCACCAGGTTTGGTCCTCCGGTTACCATGGAGCCGTGCTCAGTACCACCCACTGCGCAGAGATACTAAAGGGGTCCGGTGGTGCTGCGCTTGCACTCACGGGGCGCCTAGCCGACTACGACTCCCAGAAAGCATCTAGCTTTCTGCGGTTCAGGAGGTAGTCAAGGGGGCGGCCCACCCGAACCGGGGTTGCCATGGAGACGAGGTGGCTGACGGCGTCCTAGTGAGAGCGGTGATTGGTGCAGAACCCTGCAAATCCCTGGAAGGCCCGCAGAGAATTGACAAAAATGTGGTGGGGGGCATGCGCGGTCTGGAAGGCGGTGGTGCCATCCGATGCCCCCCGAGAGGATTGCGCACGTCGACGGGGCCCCGACGCCTGGATTCGAGACGGGGAGTGTGGGAAGAGACGGCCAGGAGTGCGACCTGATCGTTGCGACCAGCACAATCCCCTGGGGACGGGAAGAAGGGTAGAAACGGAGGCGGGGGTGGGGGAAGGGCAGGAGGGCTTGGAGCTGCGCGCGGAGTAATCTGGGAGATGTAGTCAGGCCTGGAGGAAGCGAACGCGAGTGCGCATGTTCAGGAGCGCGCAGCCGCCCCTGGAACTCTAAGGGAAGGTTGGGGTTCCCTCTTCTGCGAAGCCTCTGGAGGGGACTGAGGAGGGATGGGGACTGAGGAGGGGAGTGGATTCTGGGAGACCTTGAGCCCCCGCAGGGGCCCTGGCGCTCCCTGCGGTGGGCCCTGTCACGCGAGCTTGCCAATCGCCACCCTTGCCCCTGCAACGGGTCACTTAAGCACCCTACATTGGTGGTGCTCGCGTAGAGTTCTGGGAAATGAATTCCCGGAACCTCCTCTACTTGCTAGGTGGCTGTTGCAATTTTCTCCCAGGGTTTCAAGTTGACTTGGCACCCTGAGGCGCAGAGGTTTGACCCACAGAAACCAAACTACCTCCAAGTTGATGCCACCCCAATAATAAATATAAATAAAACTGCAACAAAGTCCCAGTTGCAGAAAGTATGTAGGGAGGGGAAGTCATCCCTATTCTCAGGTGAGGAAACTGCAGTTCACGTAGGCATAGCGGAATCAGCATCTCGAACCGTCCTTGCAGACTGTTGCTCTAATGATTTCGGGGCCTTTGAGGATCCTCAGAAATCCCCCTGTCACTTCCAGACCCCAAGTAAATTAGAGAGAACTGGATCCCTGCTGAATGTGATGAGTTTAATTTTCAGGCAGCTGTCCCTTTTGGGACCACACTGGGAGGGGAACGTCAGGACCCGAGAGAAGACCAAGTCCGAGACTGGATGGAAAACATTAGTTGGTATTGGGAGTCAGAGAGGAGGCAGCCGTGGTACTGATGCCCGGATATAAGTAAAGAAGCAGCTGCTGGGATGAGGCTGCTGCTATAGAATAGAACAGGGTTTAGGGACGAGAGATGGAAAGAATAGGATTTAGGGAGGAACATTGAAGCAAGTAGGGTTTAGAGGAGATCCTAAACAGTAGCCCATACTTAAAACAGACATTGCATAGACCCAGCTGGAGAGATCAGCAGAGCTAGTGGCTGGGCTCGAGTTCTCACGGGTCTCAGGGGTGTGGCTGGCCCCTCATGTGTCCTCTGCATGGAGAAGGTCTCAGGATCAAACAACACAGCATACAGTAGACACTCAGTAACAGTCACTGCCACCATCTGTCCTTATTCCAGCTGCCTCATACTATCCCTTCTCTAGGGACAGACACGGGCCTCAGAGATCTGATCTGGTAGTCCTGATGAGACCCACTGCGCTGGGCTCCCCAGGCCGTTCATCCCCAGAAAATGAGCCCTTTGTGGTGAAGCTGGAGGACTCTGAGGAGGAGGGAGAAGGTACTCTGTGGGACCCAGGCCCTGACGCTGCACGCCTACGCTTCCGCTGCTTCCGATACGAGGAGGCAGTTGGTCCTCAGGAAGCCCTGGCCCAGCTCCGAGAGCTGTGTCACCAGTGGCTACGCCCAGAGGTGCACTCCAAGGAACAGATGCTGGAACTCTTGGTGCTGGAACAGTTTCTAAGTGCACTGCCTCCTGAAATCCGGGCCCGTGTGCAAGGGCAGTGGCCAGGCAGCCCTGAAGAGGCTGCTGCCTTGGTTGACAGGCTTCGATGGGATCTGGATGGACCTAGGAAATGGGTGAGTCCATAACCAAGTGGAAGGTCAGGGCTGTGCAAGCATTGGTCAAGCCTTGCCTCACTCTGGAGTTCTGTGCCCAGCCAGACATGCACCTTGGTCATACAGAAGTGTCCACCGACAATGGGGATCCTTGTGTGGCTGCTCAGGACAGGAGCCCATACCTGTATTACCTGTCATCCCCCCAAGCTGGATGAGGCACAAAGGGTACCAGGCAGCCCTGTGCCAGCAAACAGTCCTTTTGCTCTCTGCTCGGGGTCAAGGGAAGGGAAGGGGGAGGTTTTGGACTTTGGAGGACCTAGTCAGTATATTGACCAGGAAGTCTTGCAGTGGAGTGGTGCCCACAGACCATGGGCTGTACCCAGCCCCTCTTTTTGTTCTGTGCATCTTCCTAGGTCACAGTCCAGGTACAGGGGAAGGAGGTCCTATCGGAAAAGATGGAACCCTCCAGCTTCCAGACTGAAACTGGCCCTGGGGCCATTCGGAAATTGCTGACGGACCTTCAAATGAAAGAGGAAACAGAGGTGGTGGAGAATCCAGGTGAGAGCAGGTGAAGTGGGCGGGGCCTAAAGCCTGGCTGGACAAAGCAGTCTACAGTCCACTGAGCCAGGAGTCCACTGAGCCAGGCCCTGCTAGATGCAATAGTTCCAGTGTGCCTCTGGCCTTACTCTTGCCTCCAGCCCAGCCAGCACAGACACTGTCTCTGACCAGCACAGCCCCATTCCCGCAACTATCCCCAAGCATCATGGGACAGGCTGCCTCTAGACTCACAGAGATGCAGAATCACAGGCCAATGCTTGTCCGCATCTGTTTGCCTTCCAGAAAACCCTTCTTGACCCTATTCCCAACTGGACCCTCAGCTGCCCTGCCTTGTCCTTCCCAACCTTGAGCTCTGCCTCCCTCGTGTCTTGAAAGGGTGGGAACTTTCTTTTTCTTTCTTTTTATTTATTTTTATTTTATATATACATTGGTGTTTTGCCATGGGTATCAGGTCCCCTGGAGCTGGAGTCACAGACAGCTGTGAGCTGCCATGTGGTTGCTGGGAATTGGACCCGGGTCCTCTGGAAGAACAGTCAGTGTTCTTGACCACTGAGCCATCTCTCCAGCCCGGGTGGGAAGTTTCTTGAGCTGCCTGACCCCACTCTTTCTCCCCAGAACTCCTGGAGTCTGGGCCTCTTCCTGCTGCCCAAGAGGCTGCAGCTGCCCTCCTACCTAAGGAGGCCCAGGTGAGCCTTACACAGAATGGGAGCCACCCTTTGCCATAAAAGCCCAGGCAGGCACAGTCCGACAGTGACCACTGTGGTTTCAGGGCCATGGGACAGCACTGGACCAGACCTCTCCTCACAGCGACACTGAGCCTGATGTGCCCCCATGGAGTGAGGACCCCGTGGCCCTGTGGCATGAGGAAGTAGGGGGCATCTTCTCGCCAGGTTAGTGAGATACACAATGGGACTGAGCCCTCCTCACAGTCCCCTACACCCATGAGTCCTTCTGTCCCTAACCAAGACAGCCCTATCACTGTAGAATGCTTTAGCGTTCTCTGCCACTGACCCCTTGGCTCCTCCTGACTTTGCTCTGTATCATAATACCTTGCTGAAAACAGACGTTGCCCACATCCTGTTCCCAGTCATGGCATTCTGCATGGCCCCTGGACTCTGATCTGCACCTTGCAGATTGGACACCAGAGCAGGGAAGTTTGGGACCTGTGGAGGAAAGCTTAGTAGTAGACAAGGCAAGAGTAGTTCTGACACAGCATAGCCAACTGCTGGGGATGCGCCAGGACCCTGCCCAGGCCCCTCTTTCCTGATGTACTCCCCTATGTGAGTGTGCCATCCTCTGAATTCTGGTATGGGAGATAAGATTGTGAGAGGTTACAGACCTGAAACACAATTGTCCAGCCCTTGTTAGGTGGTTTATTCCTCCATACTGGGGATGGAGCCCGGGGACTGGGCATGCTAGACAAGCACCCTGTCACAGAGCTACACCCCCAGCTTCCCACTGATGGATTATGCACAAGAATTTCTACTACTGAGCCTTGCCTTCAGCCTCTCACTGTTGGAGCCTAGGTGTTTGTCCAACACTGAGCCATGCCTTAGCCCCTGCTAGGTAGGAGTTTTGCCACTGAGCTGTACCCCCAGTCCCAGAATTATTCTGTTGGACTCATTTTGGGGCTTTTTTAAATTATTGTTATTGTTTCTGCTGTTGATGAATCCTCTCTATCTGATATTCACATATCTCACTAATAGGAAATTGCTTTGAAATGTGTTCTTTGGAGCATGGTGTGATGACGGTGTAAACAGAGACTCTTGGCCTCTGGGGTAGTCCTTCAATGTTACCACTCCAGTTTTCCACCCCTTTGTTTTGTGTGTATTTGAGCATGTGTATGTGTGTCATAGCACACACGTAGCATTCAGACAACAACTTGCAAGGGTCCATTTTCTCTGCGTATCCTGAGGATCCCAGGGATCACACTCAGGTCCTCGGGCTTGGCAGCATTCTAAGGCAGAAGAGAACACCCAGCGTAAGCGCCTGGTGCCTGGTACCTCAGCATTCGCTTGGCCTGGCCCTGTGCTTGTGTAGCACAGGGACCACTTTGTCTTGCTTGGGCCCGCTCTTGTCTTCATCCACAGCCCCAGTCTCTCGCCGTCTTGCAGGCACACTGGCACGGCGGCTCCCAAACCCTTGGCTGCTTCCTCCTTGGGCCGCTCTTGCTGTAGACAACCATACTCTTCGCTTTCAAGTATCAATTCATCTTCATCACCATGACCCCTGCCATGTCCCGTGGCCGCTTGCCTCATCCTGCAACTGTGCCTTTTGTGGAGGCCAGAGTTATTGGGAGAGGGTCCTGTTTTGTCTGCTATATTCCAGGCTGGCCTGGAACTCGATATTTAGCTGAGATGGCCCTTGAACGACTGATCCTGCTGCCTCTACTTCCCAAGTGCTGGGATTCTAGGTGTAAGATACCTCTCCTGGTTTAGGCAGGGCTTCGGATAAAACCAAGGGTTTCGGGCATGCCACAAGAACTTCACCAGCTGAGACGCATCCCAGGCCTGTTGGTGATTGTGGTGGCTGTGTGTGTGTTCTTATGTGCACCTGTGCGTGTTTGTGTTTGTGTATACACTGGTGAACCCTGGGCTCTTACACATGCTAAACATGCAGTCTACTGTTAGAGCCACACTCCCAGAGATCTTTTTAGTGCTTCATTATGACACTATAACACCATGCCGGGGACAACATGAACAGGCTGCTGGTGACATGCAGATACAGATGAATTCACTAGAGACACAAGAAGAAGTAGTTTGCTACATGGTGGTTCCACAGCAGACAAGACAGTAAAGTGAGCCTGACTCTGCAGATCTATTCAACAAGTCTACCTTGAGTAGCAGTGAGTGAGTCTCCATGTGAACAATCAGGCTGCATCCTGGTGTCCTGGAACCCTGAAACACCTGCATTTGGGATGCATCCTGGTTAGCAACAGCCTAGCCTTGAGACAGTAATGGGTGTCATACATATCCAGGGTCAGAAATGGCTCAGCAGGACCTCCCATCCCAAACTGGCAGTTAAGAGTCCTGCTCAGATGTGGGTGCTTCCTTGCCCTGAACCCACCCTACCATGAAGCAAAAGCAGGCTTGTTTCAGGTGTTTAGAGCAGCTCGGAACCACACCCGTAGTTAATACATTCACATAATGGAAACTCCAAAAGGTATACAAAGCGTACACAGTGGAGTGTCCCACCTGTGCCCAACAGCCAACGTGGCATGTTCTCTGTGCCTTCCAGAAAGAGCCTGTAGGCAAAGCAGACACAGTATAAACCATGCACTCCATACCATTGTGTTGGTCAACCCAGATCACAAATAATAAGTATGATATTGCCAAAGCTGGATATGGATTTTACACACCTCAGGTGTGTAGGCAGCAGGAGGTAGGCACGCAGAAGCAGGAGGATTGCCATGTCTCCAAGGCCAGCTTGCACTACAATGTGAGATCCTGTCTGAAAAAGTTAGGTATAGCTGGGCAGTGATCCATGCACGCCTTTAATCCTAGCACTCAGGAGGCAGAGGCAGGCCAATCTCTGTGAGTTCAAGGCCAGCCTGGTCTACAGAGCTAATTCCAGGACATCCAGAACTGTTACACAGAGAAACCCTGTCTCAAAAAAAAAAAAAAAAAAAAAAAAAAAAAAAAAAAAGGGGGGGGGGGGGGGGGGGAGATGGCTCAAACAGAAAGAGTACTTGCTAAGCCTGGCAACCTCAACTCAATCTCTGGGGCCCACATGGTAGAGAGAGAGAATCATTCCCACAGGTTGTCTTCTGACCTCCACATACGCATGATGGCCTGCACATGGCCATATTGACACACTCACACACCAAAAATATTTTTTTAATATAAAAACCGTTTGACATGTTCGCAAAAGATTTCCCTTTAGTTAGTTGCTGATAGAGCCAGGTGCTCGGTAGCCTCTTACAAACACAAGGGGAAACAGTCTAGGATACAGAGTGAAACACTGTTTCAAAAGCACAAAGCAAACACCCGCCCTTAATTTCAGCACCCTGGAGGCAAAAGCAAGCAGGTTTCTGTGAATTTAAAGCCAGCTTAGTCTACACGGCAAGTTTCAGATCAGCCAGAGCTACATAGTGATGCCCATTTTGTTTTTTTGTTTTTTTTTAAACAAAGCAGAAAAAATAAAAAAGGTGTTTTTTTTGGGGGGGGGAGCTGCTGGAGAGATGGCTCAGTGGTGAAAAGCACAGGTTACTCTTCCAGAGAACCTGGGTTTGATTCCCAGCGTCTACCTGGTAGCTCCAAATTGACCCAGAGAATCTGGCTGGCCATTGCAGGCTCTGTACACACATGGTATACAGACATACAGGCAAAACACCATGCATACATATATAAAATAAAAACTTTGAAGATGAAAGGATTTTTTGTTGTGGTAATGGTAGCTTTGGATTTTTATATTTGTTTTGGCTGTCTCTCTCTGTGTAACCAGAGAGTCTTGGTCCCACTATGTTTGCAAGGCTAGTATGGAACTTACATCAGTTTTCCCGCCGCAGACACCAAGAGTGTTGGATTACAGGCATGCACCACCATGCACTGCAAGGAACGTGTCAAAAGAAGAAAATATGTAAGGGACTGGAGAGATGGCCCAGCAGAGAAGAAGGCATCTCCTTGTGCAGAAGACACAGATTGGGTTCCATGTCCAAGTCAGGCAAACTCACAACCCTGTTAACTCCAGCTCCAATGACCTCTGAGGTCACAGCACTCACATGCACATGTATACATAATTTAAAAATACAGACACAGCTGGCCAGTTGCGGCACATGCCTTTAATCCCAGAACACAAGGAGGCAGAAGCAGGCAGATTGCTGTGAGTTCAAAGCCAACCTGGTCTACAGAGTAAGTTGTGAGTTCAAAGCCAACCTGGTCCACAGAGTAAGTGCCAGGACAGCTAGGGCTAAACCAACCCTGTCTCAAATAAAAATAGTGTTTTCAAATGAACAGCCATGGGGCTGGAGAGAATTGGTGCCTCACCACCATCTGAAACTGCAGCTCTGGGCTCTGACACCCTCTCTGGCCTCTCCTGGCCCCAGGCATGCCTGTAGTGCTGCACAGACATACCTGCAGGCAAACCATCCACATAAAATAGCTTTACACATTTGTAATGACTAAGCCAGGTATAGTGGCGCACACCTTTAGTACCAGCACTCAGGAGGCAGAGGCAGGTGTATCTCTGTGAGTTTGAGGCCAGCCTGGTCTGTGTAGTGAGTTCCCAGACAGCCAGGGCTACATAGTGAGTCTCTGTCTCAAAAGGGTAAATAAATAAATAGAAAATGAACCAACCTGTAGTATAAGCAATAGGCTTAAATATATATTTTTAAAAAGCCTGGAGACTAGAGAGGGAGCTCAGTGGTTAAGAGCGTTGACTGCTTTTCAAACCCACATCAGGATATCCTGGAACTCTTGTTCCAGGGGATCTGGTGCCCTTTGACCTCCTAGAGCACCTGCATATCCATGATGTACATAATAAACTCATGCAGTTGTGCATACATGCACACGATATTTAAAGAAAAAAAAAAGATTTTTCCTGGATGTGCAAATGACCTTATTCCCCCGTTTTCATGCCATGGGCTTGGCAAGCAGCAGGGGTGGCCACGGTTCTTCAGACAGCTCTGTAAACTCCTGGCTCACTGGGGTCACTCCTTGGTCCACAGTTCCTTGGATCGATTCCCGTTAACCACTGGAAAGTCCTGTCCACAGGCCATAACACCAGGAGAAACAACTGCCAAACAGAAATGCCTGCAAGTTCGATTCCTGGGACAGTGTGGAACACGGCTGTTTGGGGTTTGTGGGTTGTTTTGGTTTTTTTGTTTACAAGACAGCATCTCTCCTACACCAGCTGGCCTTGAACCTGATTGCAGTAGTAGATGAACTCCTGCCTCCATCCCCCAGTTCTGCGATTGGAAGTACTTGCCACCACACACTGTTTTGATTAAATTTTCCAACCCAGGCTGTGTTGAACCAGCAATGAATACAAACACTTAATATGGAAACAAAGCTAGAGAGGTGGCTCAGCAGTTAGGAGTATACTTGCTTCTCTTGCAGTTCCCAGCACCCATGCATCAGCTAACAACCATATGTATTTGTAACTCCAGTCCCGGGAAACCCAGCACCTCCCCCACATTGTCCTCCACAGGAACTGTAATGCAGTCACATGCAGGAACTACAAACACTCAGCCAAAAACACCTATACACGAAAAAAATAAATCATTAAAAAAAAAAAAAAAAAAAGGAGTGTGAAAACAGGGCGGGATGGGGGGGGGTAGTTCAATGGTAAAACATTGGCCTGACGCCTGAGACCTCACCTGAGACAGGCCTGAGACCTCCTGTGCCCGAATGCCATCACTGGAAAAAGTAAATGCTAAGAATAGGAAACAAGGTGTCAGTTTAGCCCTACTGTGAAGTTTTCTAAGCAGGGACCAGCATGTTCCCTGGAGCTTAAACAATTGGTTACATTATTTCTTGTTGGAATCCTCCCAAGGTGTGGCTAGCTGTCAGGTCACTGTGAATTGACTGAAGCTTCTGTTGTAAAATAATTAGCCCTTGGTCTCTGGAGAGTTGCTGGCTTGGCTTTTGATTCTTGTTTCCTTTGGTGCTTTCTAATTTATCTTACTTCTCTTTGGTGCCTCGTGGATTTTCTGTCACGCATTTTGTCTCCAGCCTTGGTTGCCTCATCCCTGGCTTAGTCTCATACCCTGGAAACTCACTCTGTAGTCTATTGTGCCTCGGGTTCACACCTTAGAAGGTTCACTCTATAGCAGGGGCCTGTTTCTTTCTACTTAGGCAGCTCCTATGCTGATCACATGTAGGCTTGTGTTCATCTCATCCCCAACCCTCAAGCCTCCATGGAATCCCCTTTATTCTGGGTCATCTCAAGTGTGGCAAGTCCAAACCCAAGACTAGAGAACTGCATTCCTGCCTGCTTTGCTTCCTGTTGAGGTCACCTCTGATCTTTATTGAATCTATACTGTTCTCTGCATCTTCTCAGACCCTCGCTGTCCACCTAAACTGGGCCCCACTATCAATAACCCCAGAATCCTTCCACAAAGAGATGTTATTCCCCGCCCCGCCCCACACAGCGACCTAAGTCAAATCAGGAAAGCCTTTACACACACCTCACTCAGGATTCTTCCCATCTCAGGGGAACCTGTTCAGTTACAACTGCCACTCTCATCTCCTGTATGTGTCACCCTTCAGTTCCAGGCCTGTAGTTCAGTCTCCCAGAGTTCGGTTGGTTAAGGGCAGAAAACTAGAGTCTCATGAAGGAATGGGTCCCCTTGTGCAGGGTTTGCGCTACAGATGGACAGCATCACGGCAGAGCCAGAGACGGTGAGCCCTCGCCTCCATGTTCCTTGGGATCTCGACATGGCTAGCCTCTCTGGACAGATGCAGTCCCCCTCCCGAGAAGGTGGCTTCTCCCATGCCCTCCTACTCCCCGGCGACCAAGGAGGTGAACAGGACCCTGCCTGCGAGGATCCCTGCCCCGGTGCGGGCCCAGCACTGGTGGCCACTCTCTGGCACGCCCCAAAGGGCCGGAGCAGGGGCCGCCCTAGCACCGGGACTGGAGCGATGCGAGGCGGCCGCTGCGACGTGTGTGGCAAGGTGTTCAGCCAGCGAAGCAATCTGCTGCGGCACCAGAAGATCCACACCGGCGAGCGACCGTTCGTGTGTGGCGAATGCGGCCGCAGCTTCAGTCGCAGCTCTCACCTGCTGCGCCACCAGCTCACGCATACGGAGGAGCGGCCTTTCGTGTGCCTAGACTGTGGCCAGGGCTTCGTGCGCAGCGCGCGCCTGGAGGAGCACCGGCGGGTGCACACGGGTGAGCAGCCATTCCGCTGTGCAGAATGTGGCCAGAGCTTTCGGCAGCGCTCCAACCTTCTGCAGCACCAGCGCATCCACGGCGACCCGCCGGGCCGGGCACCACCCACCCTGACTCTCTCCGGAGTCCCCGAGCCCCCGGGCCCCTTCCCGTGCAGCGAGTGCTGTGAAAGCTTCCCGCGACGCGCCGTGCTGCTGGAGCACCAGGCGGTGCACACCGGGGACAAGTCCTTCGGATGCGTGGAGTGCGGCGAGCGATTCGGCCGCCGCTCGGTGCTGCTGCAGCACCGACGCGTGCACAGCGGCGAACGGCCCTACGCCTGTGCTGAGTGCGGCCAGAGCTTTCGGCAGCGCTCCAACCTCACCCAGCACCGGCGCATCCACACCGGCGAGCGGCCCTTCGCCTGCGCCGAGTGTGGCAAGGCCTTCCGCCAGCGGCCCACGCTCACGCAGCACCTGCGTGTGCACACGGGCGAGAAGCCCTTCGCCTGCCCCGAGTGCGGCCAGCGCTTCAGCCAGCGACTCAAGCTCACGCGCCACCAGAGGACCCACACGGGCGAGAAGCCCTACCGCTGCGCTGAGTGCGGCCTCGGCTTCACGCAGGTGTCCCGGCTCACCGAGCACCGGCGCATCCACACAGGTGAGCGGCCCTTTGCTTGCCCCGACTGCGGCCAGAGCTTCCGGCAGCATGCCAACCTCACCCAGCACCGGCGCATCCACACGGGTGAGCGGCCCTACGCGTGCCCCGAGTGTGGCAAAGCCTTCCGCCAGCGGCCCACGCTCACGCAGCACCTGCGCACCCATCGGCGCGAAAAGCCCTTCGCCTGCCAGGACTGTGGTCGCCGTTTCCACCAGAGCACCAAGCTCATTCAGCACCAGCGCGTGCACAGCACTGAGTAGGCCAAAGGTTGATGTGAGGCTGGCATCACCCAACAGGCCCACCCAGGGCCTGGTCTCCAACAGGTGCTCAATAAATAGTAGATGATGCCTCTCCACCTGCACCGTTCCTCTGCCCCCCCCCCTTACCGCTGTCTCATCGTGGGCACATCTTCTGCACATAGAGCCTCCTGGGAAGGCCATGCACCCCCTTCTGAAATAAGGCTGCCTATCACACCTGTGGTTTATACAGTAGGTATACACCTCGGGTGGGGCAGAGTAGCCACACTCACCCAGAAAAGAAAGGCTTCGCTGTATCTGCCCTGGTAATCATTCAGTGTCTAGTCCAGAGAGGTCGATCAGGGCAGTGGTGGCCCATGCCCTTTAATTCCAGCACTCGAGAGGCAAAAGCAATTGGATGTCTGTTAGTTCTAGGCCAGTCTGGTCTACACAAGAGCTAGTTACAGGACAGCAAGAGCTGTTATGCAGAGAAACCCTGTCTTGAAAAACCGAAGGGGGAGGGGGTATCCACCAATTACACGACTGCTGGGTTACTAAAAAGGGTCGCCCAGCTGCATGTGATGGTACAGTTGTAACCCCAGCACTTGGGAGGCTGGGAAAGCAAGACTGCACAGAATTTTAGTCTCGTCGGAGCTATGCTGTAAGCTGCTGCCTCAAAAGCACGCGTCGAGAGTGGTGGCACTCGGCTGTAACCCTAGCAGTAGGGAGGCAGTGGCAAGGGTGTTGCCGTAAGTTCGACAACAGGTAGGTCTACATAACAAGTTCGAGGACGACCAGAATTACATAATGAGAACCTGTCCACTCCCACCACAAAAGCCAAAATACAAATGTGGAGGCCTGATGGCACAGACTAGTAATCATTCTAGCCACTCAGGAAGCTGAGGTGAATTGCTAGCTACAGAGATCTGTCTCAACAAAAGGAAAAAATAAAAAGGCTCAGTGGTAAAGCCACTTGTCATCGAGCCTGATGACCTGAGTTTGATCCCTGGAACCTATGTGTTGGAAGGAGACAACCAACTCCTAAAGTTGTCCTATGACCTGCATAACCTCTATGTGTGTGTGTGTCTTTTCTGTAATACGTGTACACATATACACATACACAGGTAAATAAATAAATTGGGGGGCCTTTAAAAGGGGACCATGCTAGGAAAGTAGTTTATTAATAGGCTGTTTGCTTAGCACTCACTGGGCCCTGGGATCAATGTCCTGTGCTTTAAAAGACTGTTTTTATGAGTTGGGGAGAAAAACAAATCAGGAAAGTTGTAAATCGTGGTTGTTGCTGAGAGGAGAGATGGACAGGAAAGCAAGGGTAAGAGGAAGAGAGAACCATGCCATTTGAGTCAGGGTCCCAGGCAGGTTCAGCTTTGGTTGTCAGAGTCCAGCTGGATGGGAGCAGAGGGCTGAGGTTCTCATCGGAGAGAGTGAGAATGTTCATCGTATCCAGACAAGCACACTTAGGACTTTTGCAGGTATCCAAAAAAGAGTCGGAGCCGGGCAGTGGTGGCACATGCCTTTAATCTCAGCACTCAGGAGACAGAGGCAGGCGGATGTCTGCGTTCAAGGTCAGCCTGGTCTACAGAGTTAGTTCCAGGACAGCCAGAGCCGCTGTTACACAAAGAAACCATCTCAACGCCCCCCTCAAAAAAAATAAAATAAAATAAACAAAGAGTGGGGATGAGAAAAGTTATGCTTTTTGAGCTAGAACTCAGAAAAGTGGACAAGCTTAGCAGTGAAGTTCTGCAAATGCAACTTCCTAGTGCTTAAAAAATTTTTTTTTTTTTTAATATTTGAGACAGGGATTCTCTGTGTAGCTTTTGAGCCTGTCCTGAACTTGCTCTGTAGCCCAGGCTGGCCTCAAACTCACAGAGATCCACCTGCCTCTGCCTCCCGAGTGCTGGGATTAAAGGCGTGTGCTGCCCCATTGGGCCTCCACCTTGCTGAGTCAACATTAGCAATTCCCATTTCTCCGTGCCCAAACCTACTGTGCAGTCACGTTCAACCTAACAGCACTCCACACCCAACCTCTGCAACGGTCATAAGCAGGCAAGGCTTTCTTCCCAGCAGTGGGATGAGTACTGAGGAATGAATAGGAAGGTGGCCGTGAGATGCAAGCCTGATTGGGAGGGTTAACCTGAACACTCTGACACTTAAAGATTTTCTTGTTCCCATGGGTTTGCAGCTAACTGGTACTAAGAAGGGATGAGTGGGCCCCAAATTGGGGAGCACAGGCTCCAAGCCCAGGGCTCTATCCTTCCCAATTTGTTCCACTCATTCTAACCACAGGCTCTTTCTACCGTGGCTCTGTTCATAGCCCTACAAGGGTCTCCTTCATACTTCAGGAGTGTGTTCAGCAGCAAGTCACCCGAAATAAAACTGAATAAAACTGGCAACTGACATGACCCTGGACCCATGCCACTGCCTTTTTTTCTTCTTCTTCCTTCCTCTTCCTCTTCTTAAGATTATTTATAGAGTCTTTTTGTTTTGCATGTATCCCTGCAGGCCAGAAGAGGGCCATCATGTGGTTTGCTAGGAATTGAACTTAGGACCTCTGGAAGAACAATCAGTGCTCTTAACCTCTGAGCCATCTCTCCAGCCCTGTCGCTTCCTCCTTTTCAATAGCCATCTTTCCTTCTATCTCACTGGTTGGGACATTGACACAGCGCCCCCCCATGGGTTACTGGGGTACAGTCAACAAAAACCCATTTAACACAATTCAGTCAGCTCGAGTCCTAAACTCCAGTTGAGGTCTTCCTCTGGCTAGGTGTCAGTCTGGCTCTGGGAGTTCCCAGGAATAACATTTTAAGGTCTGCATATCCAAGTTGCCTCTGTGGGAATAGCTTTACTTGTTCTTGCTACTTCACTTTGACACCCCAAACTGGGACCTAGCCTCAGGCAAGTAGACAAGCCAAGCAAGTCAGAGGCTGATCCTATGTGATGGGGTGTGTGCGAGGGGGGTCCCCGGTCCCTAGGACACTCCCTCGTCCCCTCCTTCTGCCAGATGTGAAGGGACAAAGGCACAGTTCCATGAGGCCACCCTCAGCAGCCTATGAACAGCCTAACCTAAACTATAGAGACATGGACTCAGACCCAACTGAGATTCATGGTTCCTGTGCAAAAAAGTTTCAGCCCTAGCCAGTATGAGGCAAAGTTGGAGGTTTTACTAAAGATATTTTAAAATAAGCTTTAAACATGGGACAAGTGCTCAAAAGACTTAACCAAGCATGGACACGCGTTTTCCATGGAAGAATGGGGAAAAGTAGTGTGATATGGGACACTCGAGGAAGAGTCTCAATTGTTTTGGGATTAGCCATATATAATACCTTTTGGGTGGCTCTCAAGTTACGTTTCAAAGGGTTGCTAAGAAGCCTTTTTCCTTTCCTCTTTTGAAAAAGACTGGAGACTGGCTCCAGAGATGCCTGGCATGGAATGGTAATCTCATATGGTAAAACCAGAAGCTACTAGAATTGTACAGGTTCCGTACACATCCTTTCCCTGTAGATGGAGTTGCTGGAGAGTTCTGGAGCACTGTAGGTTTACAGCTGGGAAGGGAGACAAGCCTTGAAGCAACTGTTAACTGTACTGGCTTTCTTGCTTCTCCGTGGGGAAAGAGGCTTCAACCAGACTCCAGGGTGAGAGGCTCTGTTCCTTTCTCCGGTTCCCATAATTCTCAGTGTTGCTCTCTCCTGCCTCACAGGCCACCAAAGATCCTGAACCAAGATAAGCAGACTTTAGAATCTGTGAAAGGGCACAAGCGGGCAAGTGCCACCACACTGTCAGCAGAACTGCAGGACTACAAAGCTTTTGAGGGAAAAACCGAGAAAGGATGCTGGGGTGGGCAGCTTAGATGGCAGGGGTCTGGAAGGGGAGTAACCCTAAAAGGTCAGGAAGAGAGGGGTGCTGGTGGCACATGCCTTTAGTCCCAGCACTGGGGAGTCTGAGGCAGGTGGATTCTGTGACTTTGAGGCCAATCTGGTCTACAGAGTGAGTTCAAGGACAGTCAGGGCTACACAGAGAAACCCTGTCTTGAAAAGCAAAAAAAAAAAAAAAAAAAAAAACAAAAACAAAAACAAAAAAAAAGGTCAGAAGATGAGGGCTCTGCCAGCAAGGGTGTACCAAGCTCCAAAGAACTACGGTTCATGGTGAGTGGCAGGAGCCATCTGTCAGATGGCAAAGAAGGGCCTTTATAAAGGAGCCGAAAGGATGGAGTCCCAACCTGTTCCAGACAAGCGGCAGAAGCGCCCAGCGGCGACTGTGGCTGCTTGCTGGTTTCCTAGATGACAGTCGGAAGTCACTGGCCCATTCTGAGCTATTTTCTTCCGCCTCCTAAGCACTCCAAGCTGTGATTGGATGTGAGCTGACTCAACCTAGGGCCTTCGAGCGGCACAATGCCAATTCTCTGGTCTCTAGGCCGAAGTTGCAAGCCCTATACCCACGTCCACCTTGACGTCCACCCACAATAGAAATCTATTTTAACAAGGGTCTCGTTGTATTTGTAGACTAAGATGTCCCCAAACATCTGGGCTCAAGCGAACCTGATGCCTCGACCTCCAGAACAATACGCGTTTTAAAATAAATAGTTCACATCGATCGGAATCCGGGTTTGCGATGGGATTAAGGGAGCTCAGACGACGTCTCTCATGACGCCCAGGCTCTCTGCCTTTGCTGAGCCCACACACAGCAAGATCCATTGTAGCCGGCTCCCGCTACGCTCCGCATAAGCGCAAGAGTGGATGCAACCACCGAGAACCAAATGGCCACTACCCGCCTGGCTCAAAAATGGTTGCAAGCACCGCTTCCTGCTCCGCCGGGTGCGCATCCCAGGAAGTACCCGCTGGACCGCCGAATAGTCACCTCCACAAACGGAAATAGCCGAGCTTAACCGAAGAAGACCGAACCCCAAACTCCCAACGAGGAGTAACAAGGGGGCTGCAGGTCTTGCGCAGGCGCACAACGCAGCCGGGACAGGAAGAACCGAAGTGGGCAGGCGGCGGAAAGTGCCGAAGCGGCGGGGCGCCCGAGGCCGTTGCCGACCTCCGCATCGAAGCCGCGCCTGCCGCGGAAGCTGAGCCTCCACCGGTACCCTGCCGCCGCCAGCGCGGCCGCCACCTCCTCCTTCCACCTCACTGCAGCCTCCACGCAGAGGGAGCAAGTAGGCGGGAGAGCGGCGGACCCGGGAAGGCCGGCGTCCCCAGCCGCAGCGGGGCCTCACAAGACCTGAGCGGAAGAGGGGGAGGAGGGCGCGGGGGCCGAAGCAGGGGCGGGGCCGAGGTTAGCCGAGTCCTCCCGAGCGCCTCCGAACGCACCCGAGGCTCTAAGCCAGGCCAAGAGCCGGACTACGGGAGCCGAGGCGGGCCGTGTGGTGGGCGCGGAGCAGCGCGGCAGGCCGGGCGGGCGGCGGCGGCAGCGGAGGAGGCCGCGGCAGCGGGTCCGAGGAGCGGAAGCGGCGCAGGAGGCGGCGGGGGGCCGGGTGGCCGGGTCCCGGGCCCCGCGGCGGCTGCGGCGGCGGCGGCGGCAGGATGATCAAGCTGTTCTCGCTGAAGCAGCAGAAGAAGGAGGAGGAGTCGGCCGGCGGCACCAAGGGCAGCAGCAAGAAGGCGTCGGCGGCGCAGCTCCGGATCCAGAAGGGTAGGGGTCGGGACCCGGCGTTTGAGGTCAGGGACCGGGGTTCGAAAATGCAGCCACTGAGGGGGGGTATCGGGAGTCCAGGGTTCGAGGGTTGTGATGCGGGACGGGGGTGCGGTCACTAGGGAGGGTCAGAGATTGGGGCCGGGTATGGGGCGTTGGGATACTAAGGCCTGGAGCCTTAGGGACCTGGAATCTGTTAGGGGAGGGGGATAGTTTGAGAGTCAGACGGGAACTTTGCTTTGGGGTGACGGGCCGTGATGATAAGGTGAAGGTTGTGAATTGGAGATAAGTAGGAGACGGTTTAGTGTGTTATATTGGAGACTTGTAGCCCAGGACTCAGGGGTCGGGCAGAGCAGTTTCAGTTTGAGATGAAGGGGAAGGAGGAAAGCTAGGGACAGGAACTAAAAAAAAAAAAAAAAAAAAAAAAAAAAAAAAAGGCGAGTCAGGGTCAATTTAAGCTACCATGCTAGAAGTCTCGAGAGTCAGGTAAGAACCAGAGCGTGGAATAAATAACCCTGAGAAGAGGAAGGACAGTGGAAGCTGGATTGCTGATGAAAAGGGATCATTTAGTGTTTGAAGGGTCTTGGTCCTTGAATTAGGATGGACAGGTAGGCAGTCGTGAGTGGAGATCATGACTAGGGAGCCTCAAGTTCAGGATGCTCAGGGGCTCTAGAAAGCCAGTGTTGTTGTAGTAGAGGTTCTGGGGCACTGCATTGTGGGAACTTGTGGTGGGGAGTTAGAGTAATAAAGGTTCACCCTTTCCCAGGAGATGGGCTTACAATCACAACTGAAGATGCCTGTATGTGGGATACTATGTATCCAGAGGAGTCCATGTAGAGACTGGAAAGTGGGCAGGGTATGTAGTACATACTGAGAGATGTGAAGCACACCACACAGCTCTACAGGTCAGGAAGGAGAGCTTGAGAGCTCCTGCCCAGACGTGCTTCCTACACCTCTTTTTCTCTCCCTCTCTCTGTTGCCTAAATCTAGACATTAACGAGCTGAACCTGCCCAAGACTTGTGACATCAGCTTCTCAGACCCAGACGACCTCCTCAACTTCAAGCTGGTTATCTGTCCTGATGAGGTAAGAGTAAAATAAACACAGCAGGGTTCCCAAGAACAGATGGGGGGGGTAGTGTTAGCCCCATAGAGAATAGGGAACCCTAAGAGTAGGGTCTTAATTCCTTCTCCCCTTCCTCTCCCAGGGTTTCTACAAGAGTGGGAAGTTTGTATTCAGTTTTAAGGTGAGTCCCAGGTGGACAGGGGTGGATCAGCGGAGAAGCATCAGCAGCTGAGGCACAGCCAAAACACCGGCCCATCTCTTTTCTCTTTTTCTGGGGTAGGTGGGACAAGGTTATCCACATGACCCCCCCAAGGTGAAGTGTGAAACAATGGTTTATCATCCTAACATTGACCTCGAGGGCAACGTCTGCCTCAACATCCTCAGGTGATGGCACTGCCTTGTCCCCTTCCCCTCCCAAAGCCTGCCTACCTTGCATCCTCTGTCCCCCTCTTCCCTTTATGGTCTGTGATTCTCTTGTCTTTGCATTTCCACGTTGTCTTCCTAATAGCCCGGCCTTGGCTTTCTCCATGACCTGCCCTGTTCCATATCTTATAACCCCCTTCCTTACCACTCAATTTTCAGAGTTACGGGCCTCCTATGGGCCTAAGCTGTCTGGTACTAGCAGGGTCTGTTGCAGCCTCCCACTCACCAACCTGTGATAACCTTGATGTTCTCTGCCCCACAGAGAGGACTGGAAGCCAGTCCTTACGATAAACTCCATAATTTATGGCCTGCAGTATCTCTTCTTGGTGAGTAGGGATAGGCATTTGAGGCTGAGGGTTTGTTGGCCATCTACCTCTCTTGCCTGTTAACTTGCGCTTGTGCTGGCCACAGGAGCCCAACCCCGAGGACCCACTGAACAAGGAGGCCGCTGAAGTCCTGCAGAACAACCGGCGGCTGTTTGAACAAAACGTGCAGCGCTCCATGAGAGGTGGTTACATCGGGTCCACCTACTTCGAGCGCTGCCTGAAATAGGGTTAGCAGATACCCATCCCTGCCAGGGTTACCAGCCCAGGCATCCCCTGCAAATATTTATTGGGGGCCCGGGTAGGGTATGTGGGGTAGCCTTGGCCCCTGCCTTGGCCTTACCTCTCCTCCCTGTCACCTGTCCCTAGTTATTTTTTTTTTAACCACCACGTGATTATGGTCGGTGCTGCCTTTTCCCGACCTGCTCAGCAATGGGAAATGAATTGGCTTGTTTAGCGCCCCCCTCCCACCGGGTGCTGTCCAACACCCCACTCTTGACTGTGGGGTGAGCGGGCAATGAGCCTGGGTCGATGGGCCCGGGCAACCCACCCACCACCACTGGAGGTCCCACCAGGCTATTAAAGGGGAATGTTACTGCATGGCCTCTGCCTCTTCCTTGTATGGGGTGGGAGGGACAAGTGAGGTCCACCAGCATCTCTGGTGGAGATAAGTGTGTGGCCAGTGGCCTTGGGTTGAATGAGACCACTCACTGGGTTGAGAAGCAAGAATGGAAGAATCGGCTACTTTCCGTTCCTGGACTTTACACCAACACAAGGGAACCTACAGATCATCTCCAGACTCGCCCCTTTTTGCCATGTGTGGGCCTGACAATTTGACTCCTGCCAGGCCCTTGCTAAGATTCCATGAATGAACCGCCCAAAGAAGGGTGGAGTGTGGGCATTCCAGAATGAATAGGCCGAAGGTGCAGTCGTGCTGCTCTCCTGTTGGGGGCCGGAGAGGGTTACAAGGGTGGGACTGGTCTTCCGCAGAGGTGCGGGGCCTTCTGCGCATGCGTCGGGTGCTGGCCGTGCGCGTGCGTCCTCCCACTTCCCAGCATTCCGGGAGAGGGTGGGCCGTGTGACGTCATGTCGCTTCATCCGGAAACGGCGGCAGCAGCAGAAGCTACCGAACCGAGGGGCTGTCGTTGGTGGGGGCCCAAGGCCTCGGAGAGAAAGGGGCGTGACCCGGAAGCGGAAGCCCATCGCTCTCTCGGCTCCGGTGAGTGGCCCCTGCTGGGCCGCAGGTCCCGGTTGGGCGGCAGCGCAGGAGGGCTTCTGGGCTGGGGCATCGGGTGTCGCGCCGTCTGCCCGACCCTGCCCTCGGTACGCAGGCTCGTCCACACAGCCGAGAGAGACCTGCCCGCCGTGCCTGCCACTGCTGCCCCAGCGAGCCGGGCTCCCTCGGCCTCCTCCTCCCTATCCTCCCTTGCCTAGGGCCCCACAACCACCCTCTCCGTGCTCGAACACCTTGGCGTGCCCACTCACGTCTGGGTCCCCGCAGTTCTCCAGAACCACACCCTTAAGTCTACCCTACTGTCTGAAAGCAGGGCAGTGGCGGGTGGAGGGGCCACGCCTGCACCCCAGAAGTGGGTAACTTTAGCTCTTGTCACGTCTGTGACAATCCCTTTTGACTACTCATGCGAACCACTTACCGGCCTCTGTTTCTGCCTATTGCTCTCCTGGGCCTTGCACTCTGCAGCTAGGTCTGAGTCTGCCCCAGACCTGCTGGTGTACTCCAACCACCATGGACCTGTTGTTTGGGCGCCGGAAGACGCCTGAGGAACTACTTCGGCAAAACCAAAGGGCCCTGAACAGAGCCATGAGGGAGCTGGACAGGGAGCGGCAGAAGCTAGAAACCCAGGAAAAGAAAATCATTGCAGACATCAAAAAGATGGCAAAGCAAGGTCAGATGGTAAGTGCCAAGTGGTCGGGGCAGGCACACAAGGCAAGGTGCCATCTCAGCCACTGTTGTAAGGACAATGACGGACGTGCTTTGAAGAAAGTTGAGAAGGGTGAACAGAAGTTCCCTAGTTTGGGGTGTCTGCGAGGACTCCTTAACAGGAATTGGATGAGCTAACCTGCAGAGAAGCCAGCCAAGGAGTGCATCAAGCAGAGAACATGAGAGCTGAGTGGCTGTGAGCCAGGATGAAGGATGGGAGGTGGGCAGGCATAAATGATCAGAGGTACCACTTCCCAGAGCATGCCAGCAACATTTAAGTAGGGAGTGGGAGCTGGATGTTGCCTTGGATAAATTTGTGTGTGGTTCTAGGTAAAGTCCTAGGCATACATAGGCAGTGTCTTGTGAAGAGTTGGGTGTTTTCTTCAGTGCCAGGGATTAAGACTCCAGAATTTTGGGCATGTTAAAGCTCTACCAGCGTCATATCCCTGGCCCCAAACAGTCTAGTCTAGTCTAGGAGTCAAAACTGAGAAGAAAAAAATAGTTGTGTAAGTGTAAGAAGTGGCTGTGGACAGAGAAAGGAATAGGGATAAGGACCGAGGCGGGCATACTACTTTCCTGCACTTAAGGATTGCAGAGAAGCCTGAATAACCTGATACAATGGCTCACGCCTGTAGCCCCAGCATTAGGAAAGGAGACAGAATTGCCAGTAGGCAATTCCGCTACATAGATGGCTGGAGTGACAGCCCCAAGGGAAGGTGAGCATTTTTGAGGTAATCACTTGGGTTAATTCCCATTAGCCTTGTGGATTTCAGCAGGAATAACTTCACGGCTTTATCGTTTTTTCATATCCACTCTGCAGGATGCTGTTCGAATCATGGCAAAAGACCTGGTGCGTACACGGCGATATGTACGCAAGTTTGTGTTGATGCGGGCCAACATCCAGGCTGTGTCCCTCAAGATACAGACACTAAAATCCAACAACTCAATGGCACAAGCCATGAAGGGTGTTACTAAGGCCATGGGCACCATGAACAGACAGGTTTGTCCCTCTGAATCCACCTTCCCGTCCCCCATTGACGTTCAGGCAGCTCATTCACCCTCTCTCTCCCTGTACTTCCAGCTGAAATTACCCCAGATTCAGAAGATCATGATGGAGTTTGAACGGCAGGCAGAGATCATGGACATGAAAGAAGAAATGATGAATGATGCCATCGACGATGCCATGGGTGATGAGGAAGATGAAGAGGAGAGGTGTGGAAATAAGAAGGCAGGGAAGTTTTCTAGGTCCCTTAGCCATTCATAGCCCTCACAAGTTGTCCTTCCTTCCTAGCGATGCTGTTGTGTCCCAAGTCCTGGATGAGCTGGGACTGAGCCTCACAGATGAGCTATCAAGTGAGTGTTCCAAACCCATCCCCCCCCCCCCCCCCCCCGAAGCTCAGCCGCAGCCCCTGACCCTGTTCTCTTTGCAGACCTCCCTTCCACTGGCGGCTCACTCAGTGTGGCTGCTGGTGGGAAGAAAGCAGAGGCCACAGCCTCAGCCCTGGCTGATGCTGATGCAGACCTGGAAGAGAGGCTCAAGAACCTTCGAAGGGACTGAATAACTCTCCAAAGAATGGACTCCATGCCCAGGGTCTTCTCCCTGTCCCCTCTGAATAAAGAAATTCAGACATTATTTCCCAAGGCTGTGAGATTTTCCCCCATATAATACATTTCCCAAACTAGTGTAGTGGCAATGGGACCCAAATCCAGGTTGGAGTTTGTGAAAGTAAGCAAGGCTGACCCTGCTCTGAGAGCCAACCACGTACAAACAAATCATGGGTCAAAGACTGTCCTAAGCAAGAAGGAACAAATCCTTTCCAGGTGTTAATACAAACCTTTAATCCCAACAGATCAGTGTTCCAGGACAGCTGGTTTTATAGACTCCCAGTTAAGAAGCAGACCCTGTGGTTGTTGTTTTGGGTGGGGGGTGGGGGTGGTTGTCAGCATGCAACCCATTTTTTTTAGTGCAAGTTTATAGCTTCAGGTCCAGAATTTTTATCTGGTACACTTCAGACCTCAACTAAAATCTCACTAGGGAGTGTAGAAATCCTTCACCCTGTCAAAGAGATAAGGTCCCCAGCAGGGAGTTTATTGATATGGTGAACAATGCAGGCATAGCCTAAACCCTCAGGAACATAGTCCCCAAACAGCTGAGGCATGAGTGACTCGTTAAGTTTTTATTAAATCCACAGAAGTAAAAACCATTTTGTGAGGAGGGACTGAAGGACAGGGCCACCAAGAGCAGGAGTCAGGCCACCAGAGGAGGAGGGGGTATGGGGTGAAAGGACAAAAGACCAGAGCTTGACTGGGCTGACAAGAGCTCCAGCTTCAGGGCCCATCACCAGGGCCACCAGACAGCTCCTGAGAACTTAGGCTAGCACTCGGAAGGTTCAGCGGTGGAGGTTCTACCAGCACAGCAGAAAACTTGGTGTCGCCAAAGGCGTCATTCATGCGCGTCTCAAAGAAGCGCTGCAGGCCGATGATGGACTGCACATCCGCCTTGTCCTGGGCCAATTAAGAGTACAGTGGTGAGTAAGTCCCGCCTTTCCCTCCCCCTGTTGCCCCCCCTGCTTCATGCTGCAAGCCCACCTCAGTCAGTTTGTTGAACTGCTTGAACATGCGGCCCACATCTTGGGCAAACTCCTGAGGAGAACTATAAGGGGGCGACAGCTTCTCTTGGAGGCGAGCTCGTATCAGGGTCAGGTCTAGGGTACCACCAGGCTGCTCCTGCAGGAAGACAACACAGGCATAAGAGGAACACCCATGACCTCTCCCATAACCCAACCTCTCCTGTTCTGGGTGGAACTCACCATGGAGAACGTAGCATCAGTAGCCAGCTGGTGCAAGGGGCGACAGGGTTCATGGCAGAACAGGGCCAGAAGGACACGCTCACACTTCTAGGTAGTGTAAGAAATGTCAAAGTTATACCACGGAGGAGGGCTACAGCTACTGGGCCATCCAACCAACACCTATGCATTCAGCCCTCACCCTCTGGTTGACTGGTGAGAGCTTAGCTACCACACCAGTGCTGTCTGCTCCATCCAGGCTAAGGCTCCCATCTTCCTCCTTTAGGTCAGGGAGCACATGGCAGAGTGAGCAACTCCACTCCTCCCTATGGGGAAGAAAGACGAGATGTAAATGATGACAACTAGCCCTCCATGATCTATCCTCTGATGTGCCCAGCCTCACACATACCCTGGCACATCCTGAAGGGCAGGGAGGTGGCAATCCAGGTGAAAGCAAAACTCGCACTGGTTGCACATGACCAGGTCACCTGGCTTCTGGCAGACACGACAGATAGTGGCACTGTCATCCAGGATACCTGGTCCACCTACTGGGGCTGAGGTACCCTCAGGAGCCACCACTTCCAGGCCTGAGCTGGTACTGCCACTAGGTGAAGCCAGACGGGGTCCCTCAGCACCAGGGCCTTCAGCCAGAGCCATCAACACAGGCTTGGTCTCAGGACCCTCAGTGGCAGCAGGCGGGGCTCCAATAGCAGCTTCTGTCTCTTCTTCCTATTAAGACAGTCTGAGTGTTGTTATCCAAATCTGGGGTGACAGGTGTCCCTTTCTAATCACTGTTGTGTATTGTAAGACAGGCTCACCTTGACAATGGCCATGCCGGGCAAGGGTAGGGCACCAGGAGCTCCTGGAGGCACAGCCCCAGCCTGACCAGCAGCTGCAGCGGCAGCACCACGCTCAATAACAATCAGATTGTAGTCCTCAGTGGTACTGCCAGGAAAGACCTTGAAGACTGGTGGCTGGCTATCAGCAGTGAGATCCAGATCCAGGCGTTCAAGGCTCACGCGTGGCACCTTCCGCATGAGGCCACTTACCTCTCCCTCACCAGAGCGGGACCTGTAAGTATACCTTCTTATGAGATCCTACAAGTCCCTAATACACCAGTACTATACTATACCCACCTACTCCAATGGGTTCCACACTTACCGCTTCATGCCCGACACATGTGGCTCTGCACTTGAGTATGGATCATCTGCTCAGAAGACAAAAAGTTGGTAGAAAAGACAGATACCCGGTACTCACCAAGCCCTTCCAACTCCCCAGGCAAAACTACTTACCCGACCCAAAGCCATAGCCCTCCTGTACCTCCATGGGCTAGAGACAGAACAGGGAAATGTGCTCATCAGTGGGGCAAGTACTCCAACTCCATGGTACCCTATAGCCCTCAGCCCTTTCCTGATTTCTCTCCCCAGCTCACCTGGCTGCTGCCAGAGCCTTGCTTGCTTAAGGGCCCTGGCGCTCTTGGAGGAGCCATGGGCCCAGGACCTGTGGAGTTTGTACCAGGACGCTCAGCCACGATCTTACCTAAAGAATAAAAAGTCATCAATAGGTACAGTACTGCCTAAGATGCTCCCCAGGTCAAGCAAAAGCAAAGACTACACTACCTACCAAAAGCCTCAGCACTCTTGGTCCAGGCATTGAGATCCCATTGAAACTTCATCTCACCATGAGGCTCCACAGGATCCACAATCATTTTGAGAGCTCGATGCAGCTGGAAATAGATCTAATGGGGCAAAAAGGTAGCAAGTGAGCACACCTGGCAACTTACAGGGTCCCAAAGGTGGGTGCTAAAGGGGCACCTCGCTGAATGAAGCCCACCACTACACACCAACTTCTTAGACAGCAAGAGGGCTGTGTTGTTGTCACTTTCCAGAGCCCAAGAGGCAAATCGCAAAATGTGTTCCTGATGCTTCTGGATTTTGGTCATAGTCCAGTGTTGGCGCTCCAGGCGCTCCTGCTGGCCCTCCGTTACTTTCTGTAGGTCAAGGAAAACAAGGGTCAGCAAGAAAGCAAGGCAGTGAATTCTCCACCCTGGATGGTGTCATGCCAGGAGTCAAGTTTAAGGTTTACCTGGGCATCATTGACCAGAACCCGGCCCCGTTTATTCAGCTCCTTCATGATCTGTAGAATGGCCATCTTGACATCAACCTGCACACGCTTCTGCACATCAGATACTTGGCGGATACTAATGGACAAGACAAGTTAAGCCAGGAAACCTTGCCCTGGGACCCCAATAGCCCTGGCACCCGCACTTACGAGCTGCGAACCTCCTTGGTGTTTTTCTGCAGTGTGGCATGTTTGTCCCCCAGACGTTTCACCAGAGAAGCCAAGAGTTTACGTTGGTTCCTCACGGCATCTTCCAAGAACTGGTACCTAGAACCACAAAAAAAAAAAAAAAAGTGAACCTACATGCCCAACTTGGAAATGATGGCATCCACCTACCCACTGTGACTTTGATACTCACTGATGGTCCTTGTGAGCGTTGAGCTGGCAGTCCCGGCAAGTTAGAGTGTCACAGCTCTCACAAAAGAGCACAAGGGGTTCATGCTTGTGCACATTACAATAGACTGTGCGTTCACCATCTGGACTCTTAGCAGGCCCTGGAAAATAGGAATCATGCCCTTAATCATCTCCAACTCAAGCAGTAGACAAAAGCCTTGTGACCCCCATTTCCAGCTCATCCCACATCCTTGACCCACCTATGGAGAAGACCTAGATCAACAATGAAGCTTTCTGCTCCCAGATGATCACACTATCCATACATAATGTATAAGGACAGCTTCTGAAGAAGCTCCCTACTGTTTCCTGACTAACTTTCTGCCTGCTAAAAAACCATCCCCAAAACAAGGTCCTGATTGCTTGGAGAAATGACACCCAAACCCCAAAACACCAGTAAAAACATCAGTAAAAGCCTGTTATAAAGTATCAGCCCCCAGGAAATGGAAAGAAGATGATCACAAGTTCAAGGTAAGCTTGAGCTACATATAGTGAATCCAAAGCCAGACTTGTCTCTATAGTCAAGACTGATCATCTTGAAAAAAGGCTGGACATAATCACAGGACTCAGAAGACAAAGGCAGGCAGATCTGAGTTTGAGACTCAGCCAGGACTACATACTAAGCTATCTCCCCAAAAAGGTCTGATGGGGCAGAACTTTAATCCCAGCACTTGACCGGCAGAAGTAAACAAATCTCTCTTAAGTATGAAGGCCAGCCTGGTCTACATAGTGAGTTCAAGGATAGGAAGGAAGGGCTCTATAGACCTTTCCTCAAAATACAAAAACACTGGATGTAGCAACACACTCCTTAAATCCTAGCACAAGAGGCAAAGGTAAGTATTTGAGTTGAGGCCAGCCAGTTCTACAACGTTCCAGGACAGCCAGCCAAGGCTGCTGACAGAACAAAAACCTTGTCTTGAAAAAAAACCAAAAGATAAACAAACAAAGGGGTGTGGAGTAGAATCAAGCATATGGCAAGTGCCTCTTTTTTGTAGACAGGGTTTCTGTCTGGCCTTGGCTATCCTGGGACTTACTCTGTAGACCAAGCTACCCTTGAACTCAGAGATCCACCTGCCTCTGCAAATCTAAGATGTGCACCACCACCCCCAGGCTTAGTTCACTTTTGAAGCCATGGAAGGGTCATCAAGAGAGGAAGGCCAGCCTGGGCTACAGAAAGTAATAGACTGATTCAGTTCCCTTCTTCCCAGTGATAATCCAATCCAGGCTGGCCTTGGACTAACCAAGCCCAAACTATATACTAGATAGAACATAAGCCAGTCAAGGCCTTGGCTTCCTGAAGGTCAGTACCCACAGCTATACGCCGGCTCTGTCCT